TTCAAGAGGGCCTAACATCCCTAACGAACTTTCAAAAAGGGTTATCCTCACCAATTTGGATATCATGGCCTCATCTGCCTTTGCATTGTTGGAATGAGGTTAATGTTATGAAGATTATTTCAAAGATAGGAGTTCCATTATTCTTGGAAGGAAAAATGTTTAAATGGGGTAGACGTGAATTTGTTAGAGCTTGTGTTAGAATTAATCTAGACTCTAAACTATCTAATGGAGTTTGGATTGAGGGTTTATATGGAAACTTCTTTCAAAATGTTGAATATGAGAAGATCTTGTCTCTGTGTTTGAAATGTGGTTAGGTTGGCCATAAAATCGATATGTACCTGGTTGCTCTTAAAGAAGATCAAATTAAGGTTAACTTGGAATCAAAGAATAATGAGAATAAAGGTTTGTGTTCTGAAGGATCGATTTGTCCTGGTACAATAGCTTAGGGTCCTTGGATACATGTTAATTTTAAGAAAAGTAAAAGAAGAAAGAAATTTCAAAATCAGAAATATGCTATTAAGCCTTTGGATGGGAGAATTGGTTCTTCTCATGATCTTAAGGAATTATCTAACAAGTTTAATGTGCTAGCTTTTGGTTCTGAAGCTAGTAAGGAAGCACAAATAGGTAATATCCCGATTCAAGTTTAGTAGGTCACCTTGCAAGCTACTGATACAGATTTTGAAGAAATCCTTTCGAATTCTGATGCTTTCCCAGTAGAATATGGAGAGTTTGTTCAAAAATCTATTAACATTGATGTTGATTCAATAATAATTGTTGGGTCCATCCATTATACTGAGCTATTTGAGAATGAAGCTATAATAGTTGTCAAAGAAGGAAATGTTGGAGAAGATCTTGCTGGTGTGGATGTTCTAGATATTGATAAAAATGTTCAAATTTTTGAAAAGATAAAGTCGATGCGGCTGATTCTCTGGTTGTTATAGATAATGTGAATGATAAGTAATGTTTGATTGAGGATGGAAAATTTCATTTACCACCTAAATTTGTTCATCATAAGAAGAAGTCAGATAAAGATTTGAATCCTTGTGGGCCTATCAAAGGAAGCCTTAGAGGAAGGAAATTGGAAATTATTGGTGAAAGGGAAGGTGGATCTTCACCATTCAAATCATGAATGAGCTTATGAAGGGTGGTGACGGTAGGTATCAAAATAGATCTGATAAAGTTTTGGAGGAGGTTAGCTATCTGCGGCCGGATGTGGTAAGTTATTCCATCAATGGCGTAATCTTTCAATGGGAGTTCTTACTTTATAAAAATATGGAGCATCTACGTTGCTGCATTGGAAATCAAGGCATGGATTATATGAAGATGATGAATTTTGTGAAGATCCAGTATTCTCCAAAGACTGAAGGTTCTTGCTTATATGTTTTGCTTTCTTTTATTAGTTGTTATTTTCATTTTTATTTTAGTTTTAAATTAAGCATGAGTGAGTATTTGGAAGATGGGGATGGAATAAAGAAATTTAAGAATCTTTCTACTCTTTATTTTTTACTTAATCGGGAATTCTGGGATGTTAATCAACCTTTTTGGTTGTTTAATTTTTGGTATCCCCTGCACCCCAACTGGTTTAAAATAAAGAGTAGAGGATCTAATTTTCTTTATGACATTTCATATCTTTCAAATATTCTTCTTGTGCTTGATTTTTTTGTTTAATAAGGCTTCCTTGTTTTTAAAGGATTGACATTAGTTTGTAATAGTTTTGTTTTTTAATGCAATTTGCATCTTCTCAAAAAAAAAAAAAAAAAAATATATATTTTATGGTTTGATAGACTCATCATATAAATAGAGTACTAAAGAAACCTTTGAAAGACTTTTGTAAAATAATGGCTACTAAGAAATTTGAGATATTCCTGTGAAAATTAAATTTCTTCTCCGTAATATCTCTTCTTTTCCTATCAAGTTTTCAAAATTTTTGGTGAGATTCTCAAGTGCGGTTACATATTTTGGTTGTTACCAAATCATATCCTTAGATTCGTATGATTGGAGAGTCCAGAGCTCGTAGGTTAAGAGATTCTTGACCTATTAATTTTAATGAATTTGATATTATTGTTGGAGCTTGGAATCACCAATATTAAAACCAAACAACAATATATATTTAAAAGGGAATGTCTAGGATTTGAAGTACTTCTAATGAGTATGCAAAATTGTGAAATATTTAGACCCACTCCACCCCCGCCCCCCTAATACTTTTTCAGAAAATGTTTTTTGGAGAAAAGAAAAAGAAGGACAAAAAAAGGAAAAAAGAAAAAAGAAAAACAAATGCCTTTTAATTAAGGAGGTGCCAAAAGGTCATATAAGCTATGCAAGCCAATTTCGAGCCAAGTTTGGTTGCAGATAGGCCTATTCTAGCAATTAAAAGTTCCTAAAAATCATTTTTCAAAACTGTAAACTCAATTTTGGCATATTCGGAGTCTACTAAAATCAATATTATCCACTTTAAAAAGATTTGGAAAGTTTGAAGAAAAAATTCTAAATCATTTTAGTTTTAATTGATGTTTTGACCTATCAAAAGATAAAATTATAAATAAAGAAGTATTACTTAGTTTATGATCCCAATGAGAGGTTCATGTTGGCATTTAGAGAATTGTTGTAGCTCGTATGTTTTTCTAAATTATAATTTTATTTTGTGAAACTTTTTAAGGATTTAAAATATGTTTATAATGACGTATGATTCAATAATAGCAAAAATGGAATAAATGATGTCTTTAGAAAAATCACTTGAAATATCATAAGCTTTTAGATAATATATAAATATGAAACTTCAAGATTTAAATTCATGATCATCTGAAATTCAATTTAAACAATCTTATGGTCAAACAAAACTTGTTGATTAGATGAACCAAAAGAAAGAAAAAGGGAACTGATCTGAGTTCAAATTAAAATAAATAAGTACTTGAATCACAATTGAAAACTTTATGATGTTCATTGAACTATCAAATGAGCTTCAAATTTTGTTTGGTTATCCTTGAAATGTGCAGCTCGGCCAGACAAATCCAACTAACCCAAGATCTTTTTTTTTAAGTAAGCCAAAGATCATTTGATTAAGACATTATTAATGTACATTGTCAAATAAATGATCTATGATCTAGGATGGCCAATATGATCTTTAGAATGTTCTGGATTATTGATCAATTTAACATTTCCAAATTGTTATAAATAAGACATCATATTTATCATATAACATTTGTCATCGGATTATTGTAACAAATCTTTTTCAATCGTGAAAAAGTCTAAATTTTTATATTTATAATTACATATAGGATTGCTGTAACTGAGTTGATCTATAAGATTTTTAACCCATTTTTTGTTTATTCGATAAAAAACTTTTGGTGTCACTTTCAAATTGTATTTTTGTGTGCTGCATTTTTAGACAAAGTTAAGATATTATATTTTTTTATTGCAATAATTTTTTAAGAATATAATAATCATAATTATTAATTAACAAATGCTCATTTTGTTAAAATATTTTCTGCATAACATGTCCTATTTTTAAAATAAAGTCCAAATAAAAAATTCCAAAATATTGACTAATTTTAGATTTTAAATTTATAATGATATTTAAAACCTAACACGTATAATTTGTACGATTAAATTTATAAGTTGAATGCTGCCTAAAACTTAACTTTATAAGAAAATGAAAAATAATATAAAGCAGCACTCTATTTATTAATAGCCACATGGCCGGTTTCTCATGCGCGCTTCTGTTCTATTTGCCCCTCAACCAAGTTAAAAAGACTCGCCCCGCAATTTCCGATTTTTAATTAATAATGAATGGCATTTTAGAAGATATCTCCAAAACTAAGGGTGAGACCTAAAAAGTAAATCGCCGTCTTGCTATCCTGTTTATAATCAATCAGTCTCAGCTCGCTGGTGGTATCGCGTTCTGCAGAGCTGAAGGATAATGGAGCATGAAAACTCTAGCAATGGCGCAGGCCTTTCAGCAGCCGAAAAATGCAACGGCGGCGTTACCCTTACAGAAAATGAAGACCGTTCTTACGACGAATCACTTCACCATCCCGACACCGAGGGATTCACCGATGAAATCGACAGCACTTGCTCAACACCTTATGTAAGTGCCCCATCTAGCCCCGGCCGCTTCTCGTCCGTCGGAGGCTACTTTTTCAGCGCACCGGCCAGCCCAATGCACTACGTCCTCTCCACACCGCCTTACTCTGTTTCTTCTTCTCCTATCGTTACTCAATCTGATGTCTCCCTTAACGGATCCGTCGAGTTTGAGTTCTCGGCAAAGTACGGCTGTCTTACCAGCACCGGTACCGTTGGATCGATGACTTCCGCTGACGAGCTCTTCCACAACGGCCAGATCCGGCCAATGAAACTTCTCTCCCACCTTCAGCGCCCCCAGATCCTGGCGCCCCTCCTTGATGTCGAGGAGGAGGATGAAAATGCTAAGGAGTTGGGCGATTCGGTGGAGAGGGGACGAGATCTGAGGATGCGGAGCAGATCCATTCATCGGCGAGCCAGATCCATGTCACCATCAAGGAATACACGGTTCCAATGGCAGGTGGAGGGTGAAGAGCGAGAGCAGAATGATGCGAAGGAAGAGGAGACAGATCCGGAGAAGGGCTCCGAAGCATTTACAGCTTCGGTCTCTGCGTCGTCCTCCCGATCCTCTTCCTCAGGGAGGAGCTCTAAGCGTTGGGTATTCCTCAAGGAACTCCTCTACCGTAGCAAGAGCGAGGGACGGGCTAACGCGAAGGAGAAATTCTGGCACTCCATTTCCTTTTCTCCTTCCAAGGACAAATCGAAGCATCTGCCAACCGTTCCACCTCTTTCTTCTGCTAACCCCTGCTCCGAATCATCTCAGAAGCAGAGTAGAAAGAGTGGCTCCTTCTTACCAACGTCTGCCGACTCTTCGAAGCAATCTAGTTCGTCGGACAAAACAGCGAATAGCGGCGGAAAGCGCCGCTTTCCGGCGCCTTCCCCGCACGAGAGGCTTTACACTGCGAACCGCGCGCAGACGGAGGAAATGAGGAAGAAAACCTTTCTCCCCTATCGCCAAGGCTTGTTCGGCTGCCTAGGTTTTAACTCCCGTAGCTACGGCGCCATGAGCGGCTTTGCCAAAACGCTCAACCCCGTCTCCTCAAGGTAATTTCTTCAAATATCGAAAAAAAATTGTAATCTGTATAGCCTTTCTCCTTTATTATTATTATTATTATTATTTTCAATCTCAAGTATGTGAAGCAACGGAGAAAAAAATCGTGTAGCATTTTGTTGAAGAAAAATCGAAAACAATTTCGGCAGCCTGATTTACCCTGATTAAGAATTCTTTTCCCTCAGTTCTAGAGAAATTTATTTTATGATTGCAAATTCCTCCCGAAAAAGAAAAATTACCGAACATCTTGTTACCTTCTGTAACATATATATATGCGTGCCATGAAAATAAAAAACTTGTGATCTTCCGTCTGTCTTGTCCACTCCTGGAATTTTTAATAATATTATTAAAGATTAAGCCATTTTTCTATACATGTGAAAAAGTACTGCGATGCACGTGACGTGTCGGCGCGAGGAGATTGATTTAGGAAGAAGATGCTCGTTGTTACTGATCTTTATCGTCATAACACATTCTTACCTGCAGGTATGGGTGAATAATATTGGTGGACCTCGATTCCCTTCTTGTTCGAGCTATTTTACATGATATGCCCATCCAATTGCTCAAGTTTTCCTGGAGGTTCCCACTCAGTTTATTACGAATCTGGAAGAGGCATATCAGACTTGGAATTTTTTCTTACGCTCATGTTTTTTTTTATAATAATTTTAATTTTTATGTATATTTTTGTACATACTATTTTATTAGTTTAACCGGGCCCTCAATTACTGGGCTACAGCTTCCGTGCTGAAATTCCCCAAGAAATATCATCATTAAGCCCGGGCCCTTGGGTCATATTTCCTATTCACCCACATTTTCTTACACGGCTAGCTCAACAATCCTGTCATTGGGACCCGCGACAATAAACTCACAACCTGCAATGTTGATCCGACGTGGCAGCATTTATTTCCACACGCTGCTCGCAATGCCATTATACATTGTCGGTGTGAAGCATCATTAGCTGGACGGCTGGACGGCAATCCGGTCTACGTGAATCTTGATGCGCCGTCCTAGTTACCTGGTCATCATTTTTTGCCATGGGAAGGTTGCGATTCGCCTTACGGGGCATTACGATAGGTAGGGCGAGAAAAACTAGAGAAATCATGTTAGTGGAAGCGTGAGAGTGACGGATTGGGTGCAGTAGGAAAGCTATTTTATTTTTCCTAATTAATGCTGTAGTTATTAGTAAATGGAATGATCGACACGCGCAGTAGTAGTATCCATGTGGGGCTATAAAAATAAATGATACGGAGCAGATGGAGAAAATACATATATTTTTTTTTATTTAGTAAAATGGATTTAATAGTTGTTTATTAGAAAAAAAAATATCAGGACATCCAGATGAGACAAGCTTTTGAGATTTGTTGAAATATATCAGTTTTTAATTTTAATTGAAGATTATTAAAACATCACTAAATTAAAATTAGATCGCGATGGCGACACTATTTTTTTCATTGAAATTTTTTAAGTGTAATAGATATTTTCAAAAGCTAACTTTTGAATTGTAAGACACGATAGCTTTACTCCATCTTCAATGATAATTTAATTTTTAACATCTTAATATATAGAAGATTTTTTATTGTTGGGCGATATAGTATATGTTTGATCATAAAATTTTTTATATCTAAATATATGGACTATTAGGATATGGTTCCTTTCACTGTTTAAAAGAGTTATGTACATTTTTCATCTTTTTTATATTTTAAAGTTGACTGAAATGTATGATTGGGTTTCTTCAATATTGACAATTATCAAAAAGAGAATGTGGTTCATTTTTGTTTTTTTTTTCCTTTATGAAAAATCTAACATCGTAGTGAAAAGAAAGTTTAAATATCTCTATTGAAGTTGATTAAGATTAAAATGTTATAATATGTAAGCAGTTAATCTAGTTTTGTAGTATATTTATCTCTGAATTGATATGATAAAAAAAGAGTAACGTCTCTATATATATATATAACACATTAAAAATTATTATGATTGGGTTTGAATTTAGATACAAAAACAAATTAGAAATTTTCAAAATTAAATTCTGGATTGTCCAAATTTTAATTTTAATAAGCTTATAGTCAAATTAAGCATCTTTAGAAGAACCCAATGACATCAAATTCAATTCAATTCAATTCAATTCAAACAAAGATTAAAGGGCTAAGGCACTTTTGGAAGCTTCAAAGAATTAATTGGATGACCAAAAGATGCTCAATATGTTGATAGTCTAATCGAGTGCCTCAACGAGATGAATCCAACAAGCCAAAAATCACACAATTATGACATTCTAGGGCATTTAAGTGCTTTATAAAAGCACCATGATCAAGGGATCACTATGAACCAACCAATGGAACACTCCTAATAATGTCTTTAATCTTCTTCATAATTACTAGTCATGTTACTTCCATAAAATTATAAATAGTCGCTTATTCTTTAGACGAGGGAGGAGAAAATGGAGACAAATTGAGAGCACTCTTGCTCCATTTATCCATAACTACCTTCGTTGGAGTTCTTGTCGACTATTGTTGCATGTTAGCTACTGTTTCTCCGACTTTCATTGCGCGTCAGCTACAATCCTACAAAGGTCCTTTCAACCATCGTTGCTTGTCGACTATCATCCTTCTGACCACTATCGCCTGTCGATACGGTCCTATTAATCAAAAATACATGCAAACACTCTCTTAAAAAGAATTGTCATGTAATGTGCTCTATATAATGTATATTTGTTATATTGAGTCAGCGTCGTACTCCAAGGAGGGGTATTATTTACAATCAACTATCAATACTAATAGATTCATTCAAATTGGATTAGGCCCCATGGTTTTTATCCTTTTCATGGTTTTTCACAAAAAAAAAAAGGTGTCTGTTATGATTGCTACACCTTTATATCTTATCTATGTGTGTTATATATTTTCGTACAAAGTTATAACGCTAAATTTTATCTATCTACCACCGTGTATATTCTAGGATCTAATAATTTAGCGTCGTCTATGGAAAACGATTCATAGCTTAAGGGCAATCTTACGCAATTTTTTATTACCCCTCAATTATCCACCAATGTTCTATATATTTCATGTAAGCAAATTTTGATTGGTGGGCAACCTTGGCTATAACTTCCAATTCAACTATAGTCAGGAAAATTTATTCCCATATTTTCGAAGTTAAAGATAATATCATTGAGATCCAATTTTCATAAAGCTCCTAACAATTGTAAGGATGCTTCAAGAAAATTTCAAGCTCTATGTAGTCCCCAATTGAACTTTTAGTCCTTTTGCAAGGTCTTAATTGTTACCTATTTATTCTATTGATAAACTTCTTGGAACACTAATTACATGTGAGCAAAGAGTGACTCAAAAACATAATGATGCAGGTGACAAGCAGAAGCAGAAAAATATTGCATTTAAAGTGGATGACTATGCAAGTGATCAGTCTTAGCCGGAGGATGAAGATGATATTGCCTTAATGACAAAGCAATTCAAAAAGTTTCCTTAAACAAAAGCAAAGGAGATGTTAGTAGTGGAACGAAGGCAAGTTCCATAGAAATACAAAAATGTTTAATGAAGTAATTTGTTATGAATACAGGAAGCCTGGATGAATCAAATCTAATTGCTTAAATCTTAAAGCTAATCTTAGAAATGAGAAGGTTGAGGATAAAACTAATGTTAGGAAGGGTACTAAGAGATTACGGAGAGCATTCTTGGTGGATTTAATATCAGATTCCTCAGAAATAAAAGCAGAGGAGGAAGTCGCAAACTTGTTCTTAATGGAAGATAATCTTGATCACATGAATCAAGAGGAGGTATATGATTTATCTTAAGATGAGTTATTTGAAGTTTTTGAGAAAATTTGTACTGCATATAGGAAACTCAAAAAGTTGAATGTTAAGTTGAACGCTAAGTTGAACATATAATTTTTAAATTTATAAAAAAGCATAAAATCCTTCAGAATGATCACATATTGATTGATAACAACCACATAAAATTATTGGATGAGTTTGATGATTTAAACAAATAACATGAACTATTAAAATCATCATATACTAAACTTGAAAATAATTTTAAAGTGTTTATGTATGAATCAGATCAATGAAAACATGATTTAAGATTTAACAATGCTGTTTTAGAAAGTGTTAACTCATATTTTAAAGTGGAACTGAAAGCTCTTTAGGAAAAGAGGACACCCCCTACATTTAAATAAATTTTCAATCCTGATCAGAAGCCTTCAAACCTAGGAAAGATAGTATAATTCACATAGATTGGTAAATCCTTTTTTTAGAGTCAAATGTTGTTCTTGTGGAAGGATTGATCATATTTCTCACACTTTGCCCTATTAAGAGTAAATCATTTCTCGTGTGGAGACCTAAGTTGTAGAAATAACGACATATTAAACGTGCATGTATATTATTATTACAAAGAGGAGAACCCAAACTTATTTCAGTTCCCAAGTTTTATGTTTGATCATTTTGTAGAAATGCTCTCATATTTGTCTTCGTGAGAGCATTTAGTACCTAGACAACAAATGTTTGAAGCATATTACTAGAAATACGACATAATTCATATCACTGGAAGCAAGGAATGCATGCAAGGTTATACTTGGAGATAATACCATAAGAAAAGTGGTAGGTACATGTATGATTGGCAATAAGAACAATTTTTTTATTAAAAATGTCTTATTGGTAGAAGGCTTAAAGCATAACTTGTTGAGTATTAGTCAGCAATATTATAAAGGTTACTGTTAAATTTTTTCCCACAAGCTGCATTATAAGCTATAATGGAATTGATATGTTGCATGGAAATAGGGTACATATGTGTACATACTTGACTTAAATTTTTTTAAATCTTCTAATGCTTTTTGTCTCAAAATAATTACTGATAAACCATGGTTATGATATAGAAGAATTTATCATCCAAGCATGAAAAAACTTAGGAATATTACCTAGAAAGATTTGGTTAGAGGGGTACCCAAACTAGACTTCACTAAGGATCACCTATCTAATGCATGTCAATGAGAAAAACATTTGAAGTCCTCCTTTCATCAAATTAATGATATTAAAACTAGCAAACCATTTGAAGTCCTACACATGGATCTTTTTGGACCGGTTAGCACTATAAGTCTAAAATATTACATTTTAGACTTATAGTGCTAACCGGTCCAAAAAGATCCATGTGTAGGACTTCAAATGGTTTGTAAGGATTTTAAAACTAGCAAACCATTTGAAGTCCTACACATGGATCTTTTTGGACCGGTTAGCACTATAAGTCTAAAATGTAATATTTTTGATGTTGATGCTTATTGAATCTCAATTAGGTTGTTAAATCTAAGCTAATGTCCCAAGGCTAACCAAGAGGGGGGGGGGGGGGGGGGGAATTGGTACTTTTAAAAATTCATTCTTGGATTTAAAAGTTTGAAACCAGCTAACTATTTGTAGCAAGTTAATTAAGGTTTTTAAAAAAATTTTCAACCACATAAAAATAAAACTTGCAGTAAGTAAATAAGCAACAGAAAAATAATATGACATAAAGATTTTTAGTGGTTCAGTCAAACATGACCTACATCCACTCCTTGAAGCCTCCAACTTCAGGTATTGCACTATTACCAAATTGACTCTCCTTTAGTCCCCCGCAGCAAGGCTGAGAAACCTTTACAAAACTCTCTTCCACAAAACCCAAGTGTGGCAGAGAACCATCATCCTTTCACACTCTCTAAGTGTAGGCAGAGAACCCCTCATCCTTTCACACCGTCCAAGTGTAGGCAAAGTACATTCGACTATTCACACTCTCCAAGTTTCTGTA